CCCCATAGGGAACTCCACCGAAGGCCCCAGCGGCTGCGTTCGCATGCGGTTCCACCCTCCATTTCGGCACATCCCTCGCACGCTTCGTGGTCTGAGGCGGCACCACCGAATGCCGCAGCGGCAGGTTCGGCATGTCAGTGTTGCCCCATGTCTGTGCACCCCCCACACGTTTCGCGGCCCCATAGGGGGCTCCACCGAAAGCCCCAGCGTCAGGGATCACACGGCGGCCTTGGGCATATCGGCACACCCCTCACGAGGATCGTGGCCCCATGGGAGCCCCACCGATGTCGCCCGTGGCAGCATCCTTCATGGCTCTCAGAGCCCTCTCCTGCTTCTGCTCCTCGGTCAGGGGGACGCCGTCCTCGTCGTCGTCGGCGCCCGCGAAGACGGCCACGAACGCGCCCCTGAGCATGTCGGGCCCCGGCGGGGAGCCGTGGCTACATAGGGGGCGCGGGCGAAGATGGTATTCGCAATTGCGGTATTCACAACTGCGCATGCTTGGGTCCTTCGCCAGGCTCATTTTTTCCTCCCCTCTGGGAGCAGGAGTCGGCACTGGCCCACAGATGAGAGGACAGTGAGCACACGACGGGCATACATGGAAGCAGTGAGCTCGGCAGGGGCCCCCACCTCCGCGAGGGCTCGCGCGCCCTGCATGCATTTATCCCAAGGCGCATTCCAGGAAGTGGTGGGTGTAACCGCGGGGCCAGGCCAGGGACAGAAGTACAGACCAACGGGCCAATGTCAGATGCGGACCGTATACGGGCCACGGGAGACAGGATTCAGGCCCTCACATTGCCTTTGCCCCGCGAATCCAGCAAAGCCCGACAAAAACAGTGCGACCCTACCTAGGAATTGGAGCATCTAGGAAAGCAACATTAACATCTACACCGACAGCTACATTAACATCTACACCGACATCTACATCTACACCGGCAGCTACTAGGGTACGCTCGGTTGCGCTGTGGTATGCTAGGCTATGATATGCTATGCTATGCTGCGCTATGCCATGCTATGTTATGATAGGCTATGATACGATATGCTGATATATGCTATGCTATGCGGCGCTATGATATGCTATGATATGCGATGCTATGCTATGATATGATATGACATGATGTGATGTGCTATGATGTGTTGCGCTGTGCTATGTTAAGCACTGCTATGATATGCGATGGTGCGCTATGCTATGCTATGCTATGCTATGCAATGGTATGCTGCGCTTTGCTATGCTATGCGAGACTATGATATGATATGATCGGCTGCGCTATGCTATGCCATGCTATGCTATACTGTGCTATGCTGCGCTATGGTATACTAAGATATGGTGTGCTATAATATGATATGATGTGCTGTGCTATGCTAAGCATTGCTACGATATGATATGATATGGTATGCTGCGCTATGCTATGATATGCTATGTTATGATATGCTGAACTGTGATGTGCTATGCTATGTACCGGTATGACTGGTTATGTTATTCTATGCGATGCTGCGCTAATGCTGCGCTGCGCGATGCTGCGCTGCGCTAAGCTAAGGTAAGCTATGCGATGCTATGATAAGCTAAGATAAGCTAAGATAAGCTAGGCGAGGCTAAGCTACTCTAAGTTAAGCCAAGCCAAGCTAAGCTAGGCTAGGCTAATAGGCTAAGCTAAGCTGGGATGAAGGTAGGCTAAGCTAAGATAGACCTGAGCTAAGATGAAGCTAAGGCAAACTAAGATGAAATAGGCTAAGCTAAGATGGGATAAGCAACGCTAAGCTAAGGGGACGTAACTGGGGGAGCCGCGGGGCTTTACGCTGGAGTAAAGGGGGGACACAAAAGGGGGGACGGCAGTAGGTGCAATGGTTGATTTGCCTGAACTATTGCGCGCGAGCCATTGCACCAACTATTGCTGGGGGGCGCGAACAATTGCAGACCGCCTGAACCATTGCGCGCGAAACGGACAAAACAACACCCACGCGGAACTATTGCATCCACGCCGCGAACAATTGCATCCAGGCGCTAACTATTGCATGAACTATTGCGAATACTCCCGCCCCCCCATTTGCGTTCCCTCCCGCTACTCCGACTTAGAGGGGCGGATGCTGGGGGAACCGCCCGCGGGCCGCTCGCAGGGCATTTGGGCAGCCTTGTATAATGCCGCTCGTGATGGAGAAAAGGTCTTGTTCAATGCCCCTTTTGTAAGGCCAGCGCAGATGGCCCCAACATACAGGTCCAGAAGGAGGCTGGGGAGCTGAGGAGGGAAGGGCAAATCTTTCGAGACGGCGAAGAACAATATTTGGGCCGCAAAAAGGAATGCTTGGCCGAAATCGAAACAAAAGAGGGCTGGCAGGTGGAGAAGGGGAGACTCACGCCTGCTCGTTTGCCGCCCCACGGCGTCGAGCTTTAAGATGTCATATCCGAAATAGCGGTGGGGGGCGAAACCTCGTTGGGCCTCGTTGAGGCTCAGTTGGCTTCTCAGACTCGAGCCAGAATTCAGCGCCGAAAAGAGTCTCGACAGGAACTGTTTCCCTGGCCCGAGGGGAAGGGGCGGGTGAGTGGAAGCACCGGCACGCCCGTAATCACTTGGTTGTCACTGTGTTTCGAGCCGAGCGGACGCGTTTCAGAAGGGCGACGAGTGCCGGCAGGCTCCCCAGGAGGATCGGTCCCTTTGGGAATGGGAAACACCTCTCACCGCGTTGCACCCAAAGAACAGACTGTGGCCAGAGTGGATCCAGCACGCGGAGCAACGACGCACATCCGCGCCACGAGGAACAAAACGCCACGCACAGTAAGGGAGCCTGCCAGGGCCAGGAGCACTGCGGTCTTGGGTTTCAAGATAACTCTGGATGCCCTGGAAGGTCGGGGGAGGGAAAGGCTCGCAATCGGGGGGGGGGGGGGGGGGGGGGAGAATATGTCTAGGAAGGCTTCCGCTTCCTCGTGCTGGTGCGCCTTAGCTGTGAAGATCGGCGCCCAATGTTGGGCCAAGTTCGAGAGGATCGCAGAGGGCGTCTGCGCAATGCCCCTGCCAGTGCGGATGCCCGTCAGAGCGGGCCGCCTGTCGAACGGAGACCGCAGCCCAGAGAGGCGGCTGATCCTGCGAGCACGGGCCGAGATACGAGCGATCGCAAACGGGGTCAGCAGCCGCTGAGCATTGGCCCGCAGAGAGCGCTCCACCGTCTGCGCGGTCTTGAGGCAGGGCTCAGTGGAGAGGGCGAGGAAGGACGCGGGGTTGCTGAGGGAGACGGAGTGCCGCCATAAGGATTTTGTGATATTCGTGAGCGAGAGGAGGGGAGAGGTGGTCAAAGGGAGCAGCCTGGACCGCGCGGTCCAAAAAGTACATGAAGGGGGCGGAGGCAAAATCTCTCTCTGGATCGGACGATCATCTTCGGGCCGGGGAGGGCGCGCGCAGACATGGGCGACCACGGGCGACCAGAAGCGCTTGCGAGAGAACCCAGCCTGGCAGCGAAGTAAAGATCCCGTCAGGGAAGCTCAACGTCGAGCTTTGGCTGTTGAAGTTGGTAGGGGGGAGATGCCCGGGGCTAAAGCCTGTCTCCAGTCGTTGGGGAGGGGGGGCGGGCGAGAGTCAGCAACGACACTGAAGTCACCACTCGGGGGGTCGATAGGGAGGTTCATGAGATGAGATGTTCAAATCCCCAGCGACGAAAACCAATATATGCATCAGATCCCCCTGCGCCTGCTGAAACGCGCCCGACAACTTGCTGGACGAACCTGCCTTGTCGTCCGCCGATAAGTTGTGATTGTGAATGTTGAAGTGCTGGGCCCAGCACTGTTCATTCGCAGCCCCTATCGTGGTCTGAAGTACGCGGCCAGGGATCAGAGGGGAGGAAGAGACAAGAGGAAGGACGCCGCCCGTCGATGCCCTGAGGGACTCAGTGGGGAGAAGCTACGGGCAAATGGCGATCGCGCCTCCTGTCCTGGAATCTTCGCGACAAGACCCGTGCGCCTGAAGGGCGAGGTGGAGGGAGTGGAGGAGATCATTGACATCGCACAGTGCCCCGTGCGTCTTTTGCATGGCAATTATACTGCCTTCGAACAGCAGACGGCGGAGCAGCTTCACTTTGCGAGCTCGCAGTGCGTCACCATGATCAAATAGCGCCCTCGCTTTCAAAGAGACTACTCGCATGTTGAGGTGAATAGCACCCTCTCGCTGCGCCTGACCATGCCAACTGGCACTGACCGCGTTTGAAATCCCACGCTGTATCAGCCACGGGGCGGGAGATGTCGGAGACGAGCTGTCGCAGACACTGTGCATTCATGCCCTCTAAGAGCACATTCGCCTCGGCCCAGAAGATGTTCGGCGACTCCTGGCTTTCGTCAGGGACCACGGCTTTCATCCAATAAGCACCTCCCCCTTGTGGCTATCCATGAAGAAGCGCTTCTGGAGGAACTATCTGACCAGCGCGGCCTTGATCCTCTTGCAGCCCAACCCACGGCGGACCATCGCTGTGTTTTCGTCTGCCCAAACGTAGACGTTGATGGGCCCGTCAGCGATCGACTCGGCACGGAACGATCTCCACACCGGTGGGGCATTGCCTGGCGAAGGTGTCTTGAGAGCGCCCAAAACCTGATTGAGTTTTGGACTTGGTGCTTGAGGGCTCCTGCTCGTCGAAGGTGTATTCGGAGGATGCAATATTGCAATCTCGAAGCCAGTCGCCCAGGGCACTTTGCATGTTTAATTTTGTGACCAGCTCCTGCGCCCGAGTGACCACGACAGTGGGGTCGATCGGCCTGTTGAAGCTGGAGCCCGCGGGAGCACGAAGAGGCGGCTGAGGGTCTTCACTCAGGGCAACTTGCACCTCATCACGCAACTGGGCGATCTGGGGTTCAATGTTCTCCAATCGCTAATCATATTCATCAGTACGGGCCTTTAAACTGCTGGTCCTGTTTTCCATCGTACGGCTGATGTCGCTGAAGGAGTTCGTGACGTTATTCGACTGCGAGGTGAGGGGCTGCTGGGCGCTGTTCTGCACGGCGGAGTTCGATTGCTGCAGTGCTGCCTCTACGGAGTCGACATGCGCACGGACGGCGAACATATTTTCAGGCTGACCAGCTTGGTGACCACCGTTGGCGGCTGCACCGTGTAGAAGCGGAGAGGGCGGCGGGGGTTGACGACCGCCACCTGGGAGAATGGCAGCACCTGCTCCGCGAACAGCTCCAGGAAGAGGGCGGGCATCAGCACCGCCACTGGAAACCGGCGCGGAACCTCCTTTGCCAGCACCTTTGCGCTCGTGGGTCTCCTGGGAGGAGCCAAGAACTGCACGCTTGTGAGGAGGCTCATCAGAAGCGCCATCAACATGCTGAGGAAGATGAACGGCCTGCGCACGGGTAGACACCTCTTCTGACGGGAACGTGGGCATGGCGGTGAGCTCAGCCAAGGTCGCGGCCGCTGCCGCTGCACGAGCGTCGCCATTCTCCCTCGCCGAGAGAGAGAGAGAGAGGAAAAAAAAAAAACAGAGCGGTGAGTGGCTAGCTTCGCTGGGACAGTGAGGGAAACGCGGCTGGGGGAATGCGGCACTTCGGCGCGCCTGAAGACCTCAGCGGGCGAGAGAAAACGGCTGACCTAGCCAGCTGCCTCGACAATGCATTAATTGAGCCAAAATGGCTGCGGTCCTCCTCCTCCTCCTCCTCCTCCTTCTCGTACGTAGCCAAGTGCCACGTGTCCGACCATGCCGCGGACCGCCCTCGCCGCGATTCCTCCTCCTTCTCCTCCCCCTCCTCCTCCTCTCCCTCCTCCTCATACGTAGCCAGCCTATGCCGCGGACCGCCCCCGCCGCGATTCCTCCTCCTCCTCCTCCTCCTCCTCCTCCTCCTGCTCCTCCTCCCCCTCCTCCTCCTCTTCCTCCTCCTCCTCATACGTAGCCGAGAGCCACGTGTCAGCCTATGCCGCGGGCCGCCCCCGCCGCGATTCCTCCTCCTCCTCCTCCTCCTTCTCCTCCTCCTGCTCCTCCTCCGCATACGTAGCCGAGCGCCACGTGTCCGGCTATGCCGCGGGCCGCCCCAGCCTCGATTCCTCCTCCTCCCCCTCCTCCTCCTCCTCCTCCTCCTCCTCCTCCTCCTCCTCCCCCTCCTCCTCCCCCTCCCCCCTATGAATCTGCGGAATTCCGCGCGCTCTGGCCACGGCGCGGCAACTTTCAACGAGAACGGCGTACTGGACGCCGCGCTGGGGCACCACCTCGAGAAGGGCGTGAGGGGTCAGGGAACGACGAAGGGGAGGAGAAGGAGCAGGAGCAGGAGGAGGAGGAGGAGGAGCAGGGGCAGGAGGCGAGGGGTGAGGAACCCGGCAGCGTGAACGAGGGGGAGAGGAGAAGCGCGTCGAAAAGGAGACGGCGAGCGCAGAGAGGGGACAGGTCATCCGACCGCGCGCTCAAAGACCCCTCGGCCCCTGGCGCCTCTCAACGCCGCGCCCGCGGGTAGCACCCACGAGCACGACGAGGAAGCCGAGGGCGCGGCAAGAAAGGGGCGAGGATGCGTGCTGTGAGCTGAGCGTCTTCTTATTCGGCGTCTCGGCATTGGACGGAAAGGGGCCGGGGGGTCTGGCTCCGGACCTCTGCTTAATGCGACTGTTTGCAGCAGTGCCTGCTCGAAACAGGCGCCAAAAACAGCCAAGATCTACTCCATGGGCCATGGGGGGGTGGGGGGGGCGAGGGCCGGCGCCGATCGACAAAACAATGAATAAGAAAACGATCATGTTGTTGCTTTCCTGCGCAAATGTCTGCTTGTTGGTGGCCTGGTGCCTCCCCAGCACACCACCCGACGGCCTCTTCCAGGCGACTCGGGCCGGTCGGAACGCCTGCCCGAGCAGCCCGACGGCGTGGACATACCATGATCACGCCCGTGGCAAAGCAAGCGGAGACCCTACTGAGCTTTGCACACACGACACCACGCGCCAAGAATACCCCGAGACACGATCGAGCGCGACGCCGTGCACATTAACATGCACGTGCGAACCTGAATGCGCGCGCCGCACGGACGACGCCTTGCGCAAAAAAAACAAAGTTTGATGATCAAGGTGCAGGTCAATGACATCTGCAGCCGTGGTGATCATTATGTCCACGCGTTTACTGGGAGGAGACCCCATGTCCTGCGGCAAGCTCGGTGGCGGCGCGATTGGATACAGAGTCGAGCTTCGATCGCCTGTGTCAGGGACCCTTGGAGCTTATGCTGGAAAGACGTGTGCATATATACCTATACGATCAACCTTCGGGTGATGAGGAGGTTGTGGGGGCGAGAGGCGGGGGAAACCAACATCTGACTCAATCGATCTCACTATCGATCTCACTCAACGGGACACCACGGGACACCACGGGACGACACGGGACACCACGGGACACTTGTCGATCTCACTATCGATCTCACTCAACGGGACACCACGGGGCACCACGGGACACCACGGGCCACCACGGGACACCACGCGACACCGCGGGACACCTCTCGATCTCAGTATCGATCTCACTATCGATCTCACTACCGATCTCACTCAGCGGGACACCGTAGGACACCACGGGACACCTCGGGACACCACATCCATCTCACCATCGATCTCACGATCAATCTCACTATCGATCTCACTCACTGGGACGACACCTCGGGGCACCACATCGATCTCAGTATCGATCTCAGTATCGATCTCACTCAACGGGACACCACGGGACACGACGGGACACCTGTCGATATCACTATCGATCTCACGATCGATCTCACTCCACGGGACACCACGGGACACCGCGGGCCACCACGGGACACTTGTCGATCTCACTGTCGACCTCACTATCGATCTCACTCAACGGGACACCACGGGACACCACAGGCCACCACGGGACACCACGGGACACCACGGGACACCGCGGGACACCTCTCGATCTCAGTATCGATCTCACTATCGATCTCACTACCGATCTCACTCAGCGGGCCACCATAGGACACCACGGGACACCTCGGGACACCACATCGATCTCACTATCGATCTCACGATCGATCTCACTATCGATCTCACTCAACGGGACGACACCTCGGGGCACCACATCGATCCCAGTATCAATCTCACTATCGATCTTACGCAACGGGACACCACGGGACACGACGGGACACCTCTCGATCTCACCATCGATCGCACTATCGATCTGACTCCACTGGACACCACGGGACACCATGGGACGACACGGGACACCACGGGACACTTGTCGACCTCACTATCGATCTCACTATCGATCTCACTCAACGGGACACCACGGGACACCATGGGCCACCACGGGACACCACGGGACACCTCGGGACACCTCTCGATCTCAGTATCGATCTCACTATCGATCTCACTATTGATCTCACTCAGCGGGATACCATAGGACACCACGGGACACCTCGGGACACCACATCGATCTCACTATCGATCTCACGATCGATCTCACTATCGATCTCACCCAACGGGACGACACCTCGGGGCACCACATCGATCTCAGTATCGATCTCACTATCGATGCAACTCAACGGGACACCAGGGGACACGACGGGACACCTGTCGAGATCACTATCGATCTCACTATCGATCTCACTCAACGGGACACCACGGGACTCCACAGGACACCACGGGACACCACGGGACACTTGTCGATCTCACTATCGACCTCACGATCGACCTCACTCAACGGGACACCACGGGACACCATGGGCCACCACGGGACACCACGGGACACCGCGGGACACCTCTCGATCTCAGTATCGATTTCACTATTGATCTCGCTATCGATCTCACCCAGCGGGACACCATAGGACACCACGCCACGGGACACCTCGGGACACCACATCGATATCACTATCGATCCCACGATTGATCTCACTATCGATCTCACTCAACGGGACGACACCTCGGGGCACCACATCGATCTCAGTAGCGATCTCACTATCGATCTCACTCAACGGGACACCACGGGACACCTCGGGACACCACATCGATCTCACTATCGATCTCACTATCGATCTCACTCAACGGGACACCACACACCACGGGACACCAAGGGCCACCACGGGACACTTGTCGATCTCAGTATCGATCTCACTATCGGTTTCACCAAAAAAACACCACGGGACACTACGGGCCACCACGGGACACCACGGGGCACCGCGGGACACCTCTCGATCTCAGTATCGACCTCACTATCGATCTCACTCAACGGGACACCTGTGAATCTCACTATCGATATGACTATCGATCTCACTCAACGGGACACCACGGGAGACCACGGGAAGACACGGGACACCTCTCGATCTCAGTATCGATCTCACTATCGATCTCACTCAACGGGACACCACGGGACACCACGGGCCACCACGGGACACCACGGGACACCGCGGGACACCTCTCGATCTCAGTATCGATCGTACTATTGATCTCACTATCGATCTCGCTCAGCGGGGCACCATAGGACACCACGGGACACCACGGGACAGCACAGCGATCTCACTATCGATCTCACGATCGATCTCACTATCGATCTCACTCAACGGGACGACACCTCGGGGCACCACATCGATCTCAGTATCGATCTCACTATCGATGCAACTCAACGGGACACCAGGGGACACGACGGGACACCTGTCGAGATCACTATCGATCTCACTATCGATCTCATTCAACGGGACACCACGGGACACCTTGGGACACCACGGGACACCACATCGATCTCAGTATCGATCTCACTATCGATCTCATTATCGATCTCACTCAACGGGACACCACGGGACACCACGGGACAGCACGGGACAGCACAGCGATCTCACTATCGATCCCACGATCGATCTCAGTATCGATCTCACTCAAAGGGACGACACCTTGGGGCACCACATCGATCTCAGTATCGATCTCAGTATCGATCTCACTCAACGGGACACCGCGGGACACCATAGGACACCTGTCGATATCACTATCGATCTCACTATCAATCTCACTCAACGGGGTACCAAGAGACACCGCATCGATCTCAGCATCGATCTCACTATCGATCTCACTATCGACATCACTCAACGGGACACCACGGGACACCACGGGACACTACGGGACACCGGCGGGACACCGCGGGCCACCGGCCGTCAGAGGAGAAACATTTGGTCCGGCGCCGGCCCAGCCACAGGAGGATTTCGGGACACCAGTGGGACACCGGCAGGACACCGCGGGCCACGGGCCGCCGGAGGAGAAACATTTGGTCCGGCCGCGGCCCAGCCACGCCCGCCCACGCAACTTCGTCTCGCCCGCACGCACGCACGGCACGCACGACACGAACCCGACATCGAAATCGACTTCCCGGTAGGGGGGCTCTCCGTTTCACGTCGGACTCACCCCCCAATCTCCGATATATATATATATATATATATATATATATACATACCTATACGACCACCCTTCGGGTGATCAGGAAATTCGGGGGGGGGAAGGAACCATCGTCTCACTCGATCGGTCTCACTATCGATCTCACTATCGATCTCACTATCGGTCACGCTCGATCGATCTCACTCGATCGATCTCACAATCGATCTCACTCGATCTATTTCATTCGATCCATCTCACAATAGATCTGACGATCGATCTCACAATCGATCTCACGATCGATCTCACACTCGATCTCACATTCGGTCTCACTATCGATTTTACGATCGATATCATGATCGATCTCACAATCAACGTCATCACCATCATCAACAACATCATCGTCATCCACGTCATCAACACCATCATCACACCATCATCATCATCATCATCATCACCATCATCATCATCATCATCATCATCATCGTCGGGGCACCATCATCATCACCTCATTACCATCATCATCAACATCATCACCACCATCACCACCGTCATCATCATCATCATCATCATCATCATCATCATCATCATCATCATCATCATCATCATCGGGACACCATCATCGTCACCATCCTCATCATCAACATCATCATCATCATCAGGACACCATCATCATCGGAACACTACCAACATGATCAGCATCATCATTTCATCATCATGGACAACATCATCAACATCATCACCATCATCGGGACACCATCATCATCATCATCATCATCAGCAACACCATCATCGTCATCAACATCACCATCACCATCGGGACACCATCATCATCGGGACACCATCATCATTTCCATCATCATCATCGGGACACCATCAACATCATCAACATCAGCACCATCATCATCACCATCATCGGGCCACCATCATCAAAATCAGCATCATCACCTCATCATCACCCTCATCAGCAACATCATCATCATCGGGACACCATCATCATCACCATCATCATCAACAGCTTCATCATCAACCTCATCATCATCATCGGGACACCATCATCATCCTTTTCACCATCATCATCATCTCATCATCAGCATCAACATCATCAATATCGTCAACATCATCATCACCATCGGGACACCATAATTATCATCATCTCACCATCATCAACATCATCATCGGGACACCATCATCATCACCATCACCATCATCATCATCAACATCGCCAACATCATCATCATCATCATCATCATCATCAGCATCATCATCATCATCATCGGGACACCATCATCATCATCATCACCATCACCATCATCATAATCATCAACATCATCAACATCATCATCACCATCACCACCACCACCATCACCATCATCATCATCATCATCATCACCATCATCATCATCATCATCGGGACACCGGCGGGACACCGCGCGGCACCGGCCCCCAAAAAGGAAACATTTTGTCTGGCCGCGTCTCAGCCGGAGGCGGGACACCGGCGGGACACCGCGCGGCATCGGCCCCCGGAGAGGAATCATTTGGTCAGGCCGCGCCTCAGCCGGAGGAGACTTCCTTCTCGCCCGCCCATGCAGCTTCGCCTCGCCGGCACGCACGGCACGCACGAACACGAAACCGAAACCGATTTCCCGGTAGGGGGGCTCTCCGTTCCACTTCGATCTCACCCCCTCACCTCCGATATGGAGAGAGAGAGAGAGAGAGTGAGAGAGAGAGAGAGAGAAGCAAGCGTCACAGTCACAAAGCATCGTAGAGAGGAGACCATCGTCGGAGCCCACCCCGTGAAACAGAAGCAAGGAGGCTAACCAGGGCGAGCCCTCAGCAGACATCGGTGCCCAAATGCCAATCAAAAAAATTGAACAGAACACGTAAAGGCAAACAGTATGACATTTCATGTAATCTAGACCCGTCGGAGGGAAAGGAGGACGAACAGCCCATAAGACACCCACCAGGAGCAGCATGAAACCAGGCTCTGGTGCATACACATCTAGAGAGCAGCCGAAATACAGCCAGGGACTGGAGCGTGCCCCCAGGGAGACAACTGTGCATCCGACGGAGAACGGCATACTGAGTGGGCTCGGCGGGGATGTAATCGAACCCCATCTTCTTCAGATATGTTTTCTGTGCAGCAGGTCGCTCACACGAGGCGAGATAAGATGAGAAGGAAGCCTCCGGTCGGGAAGAGGGGAAGGGGTTTCCAATTCAAAACAGAAAGAGCATATCGTAGAATTCCAGAAGGCAAGCTTTTGACAGGCGAACTAGTAAGCCTTGAACCAACATGGGAGTCGGCCGAGCCTGCGCCTCGCCTCTCGGGGGCGCGCCGTGGGTTCGAGTCTCGAGTGCTGATCGCTGGAGCTCGGGACGGCCATCCCCGTCCGAGAGAGGCCAGGGCAGGGACGTGGAGACTCTGGTGCACCAGCACGCATCACGCCGCCTCTTGCGCGGGCCACCTGCACGTCTGGATGGTATCACTCGACACACAGTCACGTCCGAAAAAGGACCCCCCAACCCACATCTTGCGCAAATGTCCCTGGTGGAAATTAACCTCGAGATGGATCTGCGTGGGGTGGGGGCCTGCAGCTGGGGGGCCCAAACGGAGCGATGACAGAAACTGCAGTGGCCTCGAAATACCCAAAGACCACACCGCACGGTCCGTCACCGCATGGTTTTGGGACCCTGGAGGCCCCCGTCGCCCGAGCATCCTCGGAGAACGACTCGATTCCCAAAACCGTGCGTTCAAACCGAATCCCCAGCGACTCACCACACGGTATGGCCACCGCACCGTTTTGGGGCCCCCGATACAGGGCCAAGGGGCCAGTGGCCAGGCCACCGGAGAATGCACAGACCATAAAACATCGCACTGGAACGAGACAGCACATGGCATCGCGGGAGCCCGCCTGCGCGCCCTCCTTGAGGAGCCGCTTCCGCGCGTCCTCGCACCTGGGCTCTGTCTCGGCGGCACTAACAAGCCTCGAACTGACCCCGATCCCTGACATTGACAAGCCAGAAGGCGATGACAATCTTAAGGATACGCCCTCAGAAACTGAGGAACCCCCTAAGATCGACATCCATATGAGGCGATGCCAAGCAGAGGGGTAGGGATATGTTTCAGGTCGTGCTCAGGGCCGGAGCCTCATCATCACAGCAATCCCAGATGACTCCGGGGTCTTTTACCGGGCCCGGGACAACCAAACGTGGACCAGGGACGAGAAACTACCTGGGGGGAAGAGGTCGCGACCTCTGCGCCGCGGAATGGAAAAACCATATCGGAGGATGCCTGGGCTCGTGCTCGTGGCCGGAGCCTCATCACCACAGCCAAAACACAAAGTGATGCGAAGAAGGAGCGAGCCACAGACCGCGGTCCACCACATGGGCACCCGGAGCGCACGTGCACAGGCGCACGCCGCTCCCTGGGACCACCTTGCGCCGACAAGGTCAAGGCTGACGAAAGAGGTGCTGTCCGTGAGGCACCCGCTCATGCTGCAGGCCTTCCCTGGCCGATGGGCGGCGCGTCATCAAGCGAAGCATGAACCGGGCAGGCACGCGAGCAGAGCCGCCGGCAAGTCCGTGTTTCTGCGCGCCTGGCTCGCCCTGCGGACCCCTCGGCAGATGCCAGGCGCTCAGAGCGAGGAGAACGAGGAGAGGCATGAGAAAGACGAGACGGGAAATGAGAAGGATGAAGATGAAGAGGAGAGCAACGCGGTGAAAAACAAGAAGGCGGGGTGGACGAGAAGGAAGCTAGCGAAAGGAAGAAGGAGGATGAGGAGGACCACTGCGAAGGAGAGCCTGGCTCGGACTGGACGCCCTGCAGGCAAAATCTGATAGGGGAAGAAGACGAGAAGAGGAGAAGACGAGACGGCATTGGTGGAACAGCTCTTCACTGCGCAAATTGTGGCGCTGCGAGCCGCTCGGCGATTACCCATCAGAAAAGCTACCCTCCTGTTTCCGCTGGCACCGTGCTGCTTTGAAGTCTCCCTTCCAGCGTTTGGTTGTCACACGCGAGATTGCAACAAACGTTGTTTCTATTTGTTCTCCAAGCCAATTCACATTCAGGAGTTGCATCTCAACGGCTTGAACTGGTCCGTTGCCCACTCAGCCTGTTCTGGCAAGATCTTGCGTGTGGCAATGGGTTCCTTGGGTATGACAATGGATCGTGGTAATGGACACCGTGGGTCTGACAATGGTGTCCTTGGGTATGACCATGGGTTCATTGGGTCTAGCAATGGTGTCCTTGGGTGTAGTAGTGGGCACCTTGGAGTACAATACGCCCTGCGGGGGACAAATCAATATCCCCTTCGGGAGTCCTATGGAGCCCAACGGAGTCGTATGGGACCCGAGTGTCCAATGATGTTCGCAGGCCCCAGTGGGGTCGCGACGCTATTCCGATGGAGTGGCATGAACTCGTATGGGCGCCCCAGTGGAGTTCAATGGATCACACAAGAGCCCTATGGAGCCCAAAAGAATCCGATTGAGCCAAATGGAGTCCAATGGAGTTCAACGGAGTCCATTGTAGTCCAATGGAGTACGCTGGTTTCAAATGAAGTACACTGGAGTCTCATGGAGCCCAAGAGAGTCCAATGGAGGCCAACTGAGCCCTGTCAATCAATTTGGTTATTTCTAGTTGGAGTCGGCGCTGGTAACGGTGTGTGTGTGTGCGTGTGTCCGTTTGCAAGCCTTTTCAATCGGACATCTCCGGTACTTCAAATTGGTGTCCCCGATGCAGTGTTGGTTACATTCGCATCGGTACACTGTTTCCGTTGTTCGGGGTGGCGTTTCCCCCTGCCGAATATACGGCAGTTGGTGCATCAAGGCCTGCAATGGCAGTTATGGCACCACTGTCATGTGAGACACTGCCAATTGGCGGACACGGGACTCTATGCAGCGTGAAGGGGAGGGTGAGAGGGTCGGATATCATGTGTGGCGCGAGCGCACGGGGCTAGCCTGTCGCTCTCATCGCTCCTCTTCCCCCCCATCCGCTCCCCACCCACTCTCCCCTGCCGCTCCCTCCTCTCCTCCTCCCATCAACCCCACACATACACATATACACGATCTATACATATGATCCGCGTATTGTGTTCTTGGACCAAAGGTTGGTCCGACATTGTTTTCTTGCGTGTCGCTCCAGTCCGAACGTCTTCGGTCATTCCAGGAGGGCGTTCCCGTCGCAATGCAAGCTTCATTTCAGGATCCGCGCTCTCTTCCGCCGTTCGGAATGGAGCTCTCGCCCAAGCGCGGGTAACTTTTGTGGATTCGATCCGATCCTCATTTCCGCTCCGCCGCCTTCCCCTGGTCCTACTGCTCCTGCGTCTCATTCCACTCCAACTCCTGATGCTGGTCGTCCGCGTTTTTATCCTTCCTCATCCTCCTCGTGTTCCTCCTGTCCATCCTCCTGCTCATCCGCCAGCCCCTCCTCCAATGTACGAAACTAATACTTTTCCGACTGCGCATAACACGACAAGGTGCTGTTTGGAATGTCAGGTCCGCTATGACAGACGTCGGCAAATACGGGTCAAACCCAGGGCAGTCGGAAGGGATGAGAGGGACAGGTAAGATGTCATGTTTGCGCGAGCGCACCTAGCTTGATGAAACCGCCTCTCCCTTCCACTCCCCTCCACTCACTCCCCTCTCATCTCCCCTCGCCGCTCTACTACAATCTCCCCTTATCCCGACCCTTCCTGTCCCCTCCCAGTTCCTCCTCCGCTCCTCCCCTCCTCTCGACCCTCCCTCATCCCCTCCGTCCCCTCGACATCCCCATTGCCTTGTTCCCTTTACATTTCCCCCTGCCCCTTCCCCTCCGCTGCCCTCCTCGCCCTTCTCTTCCCCTCTTCATCCCCATCTCTCGGTCCCCCGCGCACCCCCACACCCCGCGCGCGGCGCCACTGCACCATGCCCTCGCATGTCATCCAGGTGCCCATGGTCTCGGTCACGAGCACGTCCGCCTTCTCGTCGAGCTCGAGCTCCGTGGACAGCCCGTGGCGCACCTCGACGACGTCCGCGAGGCCGTTGGCCGAAACGTTGTGCCTCGTGCGCGGGAGGGCGTCACTTGTACACCTCACCCCTGCCGGGCCCAACGTGGGCCAACGATCGGCATAATGGAAGTTGGCCCAGGGAGGATGCCACTGCCTCGGAATCGGCGATAGAGCACCGATAGATCCCCCGACGGATAAGCCGCGCGTTCCTGGGCAGGGTGGGGAGCCCAGGCCCTGAGTGGCGATGAGTGGGCGGGGATGGGGGCCGATGCTTCCACCACTGGGCCCATCCTCCCCGTGCCGTTGCTGGTGTCATACCCTCCGTGCGCTGAGGACGACGCAGGATGTCATCCGCGTCGAGCACAACTGGACCCTGACGGTGAAACTGCAGCGGGATGCGCGAGTGATGTGAGGGAGCTCGCGCCGCTAGACTCGATGCCGGCTCCAGAAACCCTGGACCCAAATATGTTGACGTCTCGTTTTCCCTTCCGTCGCCTCCCACCGAGTTCCCGTCGGCTTCCGTCGAAGCCTCACCGCGGCTTCATTCCCGCAGATAATAGTCCGCCAAAAGCAAGGGAGGCCCTGTCTGAAACGCCCTCCCTCCCGCCTGTATAATCCCGAAGCCCCAAGTGAACAGGGGAGCCAGGGAATCGCATGAATGGGTGAGGGTGGCATGGCCGTATGCGTTGCGCGCCTGTGCGCGACGCGGTCTGCTCTGGCGCCTGGTAGGTGGGATAGCGCCGTTGGCACAGGTTGGCCAGCCTCTGACTCCCAGGTTACGTGTTCTCCAGATGGGTTTGGGATTGCCTCTTCGCCACCGGACGGCGCATCCAGTCGGACCTCGCAACATGAGTGGCAGCACAGACACGCCCTAGGCGTCACACCTGCGCCGCCATTGCGAGGTGCCTCGATATGCCTCCCCGAGACACGGCCACCGGCACCACCCCCACATGGCCGCCGGCCTCAAGCGGCGGAGACCCCACTGTCCGAGAACTTTAGTTCCCGCGCCCCGCCCGTCGGGGGACCCCTTCGAGTAATAATTTTCTCGGGCCTCTCAGGGGTGGCACGGCGGGCCCGCACCTACTCTGGTTGGCCAACCGCATGGCAAGAGTCTCTCTCACAGCCCCGTCGGGCTGTCGTGACGATCGGGCTGCCAACTCTCCTGTCTTTTTTCTCTGGGACGCCACGAGGATGACAATGTGCACCAGCTCTGATGTAGAATATTTCTTACTTCGGTTTCGGACAATGCTGGCACACACGCAGCACAGTGCAAGCGGGATTAGCGGGATTGTAGCAACGCTTCCCCACTTCCGCAGCTACTTGCCTCACAGGCCCCAGGAGGACTCATGAGGACCGTGCTGGTACAAAACTGCACGCTGGCGCAAAGCCTGAATACAGAAGCCATAGTGTGCACACCATCTGGACCAACCATGGGCCCACGATTTGCCTGGCCTGGATAATAGTCCCCACAGGTCGAGAGAAGTGTGTAGAAACATGGAATGGGAAAACGCTCATAATGAATTTGTTCCCCGCCCATCACCTGAAAAGGACGGAACAAAAAGACAACGTGATGACATTCGAAGAGAGTCTCATGAGGTATACTGACTCTCAACGACCGAAGTAAGCAGATGCGCGGTCGGCGTTCTCTGGCCTCGCGAGCCGCACGAGGTCCGCGTTCTCGTCTACGGCCACCACGCGCCTCGCGCCCAGACGGGCCGCCATCATCGACAAGATACCCGAGCCCGAGCCGATGTCGAGCACGAACTTCCCGCGGAGATCGCAAGACTCCAAGGCACGGCCCGCCAGTCCTCTCTCTCCGAGGCCCTCTGGCCGTTCTGGTTGGGGCGGCGCGATGTGGGGCCTGGAGAAGGAGGGAGCAAGATCAGGACGGCCAGGAGAAGGAGGAGGAGGAGGAGGAGGAGGAGGAGGAGGGGGAAGGCGGAGGGGGGAATAACGAGGGGGAAGCATAGAGAGAGGAGGACGATGACACTTCCTGGCCCTCGCTTTTATCACCCGTGCGCCGTCGCACCCGCTGTGGGCAAAATGGACTGGCGCAACGGCTCGGGCGGACGGTGCCACTGCAACAACTCGTCCCCAAACCGGACGACGCACCGGGCTCTCCAGGCGCCCATCAGGGCATCATCATCACCAGGAGAGAGTCGGCGGCGAGCCTGGCTGATAAAGGGAAGGGGCGGGCATTCTCAGAAAGCTCGGAAATCCCCAGGCCTTCTGAGGAGGTCTCTAAGCCTTCCGGGAAGACACAGAAAACCTGTCAGAAGGCGTGACTGTTTTGACAAGTCCCGCCGCCTGCTGAAAGGGCCTTCTCCTTCGCACTTCTCCCCGTGGCTCGCCGCCGAGAGGAGGCTCTTGCGACTGGTAAGTTCTGTGGCCCGCTGGAGATTTCTGTGGCTCGTTGGGGCGTTCTGTGGCCCACGGCTCGTGGGTGATGGCCTTTCTGTGGCCCGTTTGGGCTTTCCGTGGTCTGGACTTCGCGTAGCCGATTGAAGACGAGCGGTCTCGTGCTTTGGAAATGAATGGGTTCCCTCAGTGATGAACATCCAAGTCTGCTGGATGTATGTGAAACTCCCGTTGAGTATTTCCTGAGGCAACGGAGCGTGTGTGTGTGTGGTAGGGATAAGAATAGTCGTCCTACGAGTACTAGAGCTAGTAGTACTACAATTACGACTACTACTACTACGACGGCGACGAAGACGACGACGACGACGACGACGACGACGACGACGACGACGACGACGACGACGACGACGACGACGACGACGACGACGACGACGACGACGACGACGACGACGACGACGACGACGACGACGACGACGACGACGACGACGACGACGACGACGACGACGACGACGACGACGACGACGACGACGACGACGACGACGACGACGACGACGACGACTACTACTACTACTACTACTACTACTACGACTACTACTACTACAACGGCTACTACTACTACTACTACGACGACTACTACTACTACTACTACTACTACTACTACTACTACTACTACTACTACGACTACGACTACGACTACGACTACGACTACGACTACGACTACGACTACGACTACGACTACTACTACTACTACTACTACTACTACCACTTCAACAAACTACTCCGATTAGCATTACTACTACTGCGAGTAGTCGTAATCGTGGTAGTAGAAAAGATGGTTACAGGAGTAGTAGTACCACTACTACAAATCAAAATACAAGTATTCGTAATAGTAGTAGTCGTAGTAGTAGTAGTAGTAGTAGTAGTAGTAGTAGTAGTAGTAGTAGTAGTACTCGTGCTCGTACTCGTGGTCTTCGTAGTCGTAGTAGTAGTAGTAGTCGTAGTAGTAGTAGTAGTACTAGTAGTAGTGGTAGTAGTAGTAGTAGTAGTAGTAGTAGTGGTAGTAGTAGCAAGAATAGTAGTATTAGTAATAATAGTAGTAGTCGTCGTCGTAGCAGCCGTAGTAAAAGGTGATAGTAGCATTCGTAACACGAATAATAATAGCAATCGTCGTCGTGAAGTAGTAGTCGTAGCCGTAGCCGTAGCAGTATGAGTAGTTGTAACCGTACATATAGAAAAAACAATGCTACTAGCAGTAGTGGTAATAGTAGTAGTAGTAATAGTAGTAGAAGAAGTAGTAGTAGTAGTAGTAGTAGTAGTAGTAGTAGTTGTCGTTGTAGTAGCAGTCGCAGTAGTAGAAGTAGGTCGTCGTAGTAGTAGTAGTAGTAGTAGTAGTAGTAGTAGCCGTAGTAGTAGTTGTAGCAGCAGCAGCAGCAGTAGTAGTAGTAGTAGTAGTGGTGGTAGAAGTAGTAGTAGTGGTAGTAGTAGCAGTAGTAGTAGTCGTAGTAGTAGTAGTAGTAGTAGTAGTAGTAGTAGTAGTGGTGGTGGTAGTAGTAGTAGTAGTAGTAGTAGTACAAGTGCTGGTACCAGTAAAAGTACCAGTGCTAGAATTCGTTGTGTTATTCCTACCGTAGTAATAGCAGCGAAGTGCAAACATTAACTCTAGCTTTAAGAATTGTAGTGGTAGTGGCAACAATAGGACTCATACTAAAACTCTTGCCAATGCTACAACACGGGACGCGTGCGACACGCATGCGGAACGTATACGAAACGATCATGTAACGTATACGAAACATAGGAAGAAACATATATGAAACACTTCTGAAATAACAATGTATGCTTGGACCATGGCGCCGCGATCTGCGTGAAAAGTGCCAACGGCTTTCCGAATTCTCGGGATGTCCCGGGCGAGCCGGCCAGAACCATCGCGAACGGGACATTCAATCAATCGCTTCCGAGCTCTACTCCCCGGGAAATTCCCGCATGATAATACACCGAAAAAACAAAATACTTTGGGATATTGCTGGGGCAATCATGCGCGGAATCATCGACACTTCACTGCGTTTTTGAGGGCTGCGTGTTGAACTGTTCAAACTCCGATGTGTTTTGAACTATGACGCCACGATCTGCGTGAGGAGCGCCGCCGATTTTCACAATTCAGAGGATGTCCCTAACGAAACGGCCAGAAACATCAAGATCGGAACCTTTACTTCATCGCCTCCGAGCTCTACTCCCTCGAAGAGGTCCGTATGATGGTACATGGAAGACCAACATGTTTCGGAGTATCGTTATGCGAATCATTACGAAACCACTGAAGCTAAACCGCCATTTTGAAGGTTTCGTTGTAAACTGTTGAAATTACTGTGCGATTGGGGGCCGTGACGCCGCGATCTGCGTGAAGGGCGCCATCGATGTTCAGAAATCCGAGGATATCCCGAGCTAACGGCCTGAGACATCGCGAACGATACCTTCAATTCATCGCATCCGAGCTGTACTCCATTGGAGAGGTCCGTATGATAATCGGTATACTTTTATATATATATGTATATATGTATACAACCGTGCCCCTGCACGGAGTAGGCTCGTCCTCAGGTCCCTTGTAGTCCCCAGTCATCTGGATTGAGGAATCTCAAAGAAGGCCCGGGCCCAAACATCTCAAATCTCGTGGGCAGTTCGAGTTCATGTTGGGCATTTCTATTGCGTGGTTGATGTCTCTTATTCGTGTTGGGCCTGTCTCGTTCATGTTAGAACTTTCGATTTCAGATTCGGCATTTCTGTTTCACGCTGGGTATGTAGATAGCGTGGTGGGGGGTTCTAGCTCATGGTAGGCACTTCTCATGTCTTGCATTTCTAGTTCACACAGTGCAGTTCTCTTGTTTGTTTGATATTTCTGCATTTTGGGCGTTCCTAAATCGTGTCCGGCACTTCTATAGTATGATTGGTGCTTCCATTTCACGCTTGGTATGTTTCTTGCGCGTTTGATGATTCTTCTTCGCGCTGAGCACTTCTAGCTCATGTTGGGCATGTGTATATCATGGTTGATATGTATATTTCACGCTGCGCATTCCAATAGCTAGTTGAATATGGAATAGTCATGTTCGGTATGTCTAGTCATATTTAGTTCATGTTGGGCATGCCGATGTCATGTTTGGCCCTTCTGTTTCAGACCAGGCAGTTCTATCGTGTGTTTGATATGTACTGTTCGTGGTTGGCACTTCTGGTTCATATTGGGCATGTTAGTTTCATACATGGCATTCGTATTTCACGTTTGGCATGTGTATTGCGTGTTTGATAGTTCTTACTCGTGTTGGACATGTCTAGTTCAGATTAGGCATTTCGATGTCAGTTGTTGCATTTCTATGTCACGTTGTGCGTCTCTGTTGCGATCTGTGTCGGGCATGTCTAAGTCGTGCTGTGCATGTCTATGTCATTGTTGGATTTTCCAGCTCACGCTTGGCAATTGTCTTGCGCGTTTCACTTATATCATGGTTGGCTGTTCTATTTCACGCTGAGCATGTCTACTGCGCGTTTGTTATGTCATAGTCGCAGTGGGCTACATCCCTTCATAGCGTAGTAGATTTGCTTCAATGCCACTACACTCGAGTGCGTTCCTTATCCAACGGTCTGGGGCCCCACCGTGCGTCCTCCTCGTTCGCTCCGGCTCCCCGTCGTATTTTTGCCATCGCCGGCTTGGCGTCCATATGATTTCAGCACGCGGCATTGGAGATATGGCGGATGTCGCAGACACCAGGATAATAGAAATCGTTCCTGTCAGTGTCATTGACCATCGCCAGGAAGATCTGGGTGTGATCCGAAACGAGCTGGAGAAGATTTTGACTGCGTCCAGGCAGACATCTTTTGGCACCACTGCTGCGCAGTCGTCGCTTCGAGGAGTGCGCGTGAGTTGTGCTTCCCCAACGGCCTGTGGCCCAGTGCCAAAACCCGATCCATCACGAAGAGTGGCCACGATCTCACAGCACAATTCATGCCGACACCGACCATGACAGCCTTGCGTGAGACGTGCGAAGAACACGGAGTAAGAGCACACGTAGCACCGGAGGCGGCAAGAGGCGGCAATGCGCCATTGCGCGGCAACTGCTGACTCGAACGTCGTCGAGCACGTTCACGCTACACGAATTCGAAAGCTCTGCATAATATTATGCATGTATATTCGATCATGCGTCTATGTATAGGTGTGAAAAATACGGGAGAGGGAACGAAAGGAGGACGCTAAGGAGCCCGAGGAAGAGGAGGAAGAGGAGGCCCCCAAAGAGGTGGCGCCCCAAGAGGCACCGGCGCCAACTGCGGCCCCTGGAAGCCTCGAGCGCGCAAGTCTGGCTGTGGGGTCCCGCTTCGGGGGGGGGCGCAGGGGGGCGCCGATGGCCTGGGGCGGCGGCCGAGCGAGCGCCCCTCCCCCCCATACCTCGGGGGTTGGCGCCCCCGGCCCAAGATGCCCCCCGCTCTTCGCTGCACTTCGGGGCCCCTGGGGGTGCTCTGGAGGCCGCAGGGGCCTCCCTGGAACTCCTTGGGGCACCGTGGGCCAAGGGCCCATCTAGCAGCACCCCCTCTTCCTCCTGGTCCTCCTCTTCCTCCTCCACCTCCTCGAGCCCCCGCCCCACACCCCTTCCGAGAGAAGCCCTCTGACAGTGCTCGCGGGGTCCCAAGACACCCCCCTCTCTGGGGAAACCAACATGTACCGGGGACACAGGGCTCACCGCCACTCCCCGGACCTCTCTGAAGGGGACCTGGGACACTCAAATTAATACACACATATAGCAGGATTCCCCATAAATTAAATATTTTCTGGGTTTTTGTCTTCCCCACCACTTCCAATAGTTTCTCATATTTTCTGGGGAATCCACGATTCATTGTGTCTGTGTGTGTTTTCCCCTCGTGACTCTCCCGGAGTGAGTTCTGACCAGGATTCCGAACGAAACCAGCGGTGGCGACGAGGATCCCCGCCGAGGCCCAAAAAGGGGGAGCACGAAGGAAGGGTAGCGGTATGGATGCCTCTTCCTCATCCGAGTCTTTGGAGGGCCTCCGAGGAGGCCCAAGAGGGGGAAGCGGAAGGAGGGGCAGCGGTAATTATGGGTACATCTTCCTCCCCCGACGTCTTTCCAGCAGGCCGCCCCCCCGCGCCGCCGCCGAGCAGCATCCGCTGTGAGCGGGCGGGCCCGGACCCCTCCCGGGGCCCGTCCCGGCCAGGCATCTCTGGAGCTGCGCCCAGCCGTGGCGACGAGGGCCATCCAAGAGCGGCAGGGGGGCGAAACACCCGGGAACAGGAGCGCGTGGACCCCTGGCGACGAGGATTCTCGAGGAGGCCTTTTTTTGATATTGCTACGCGTAGATGCATATACAGAGAAAGACGAGAACCGAACACAAATTATTTAGAAAAGCGAGCACTCGGAGGACTCTGTTTGGGCGCCGCCGCGGCGCCCCCTCTGACGACGGCAGGAAGACGACAACATCGGGATGCGATACATTGGGAATCTCGGAGAGCCGGTGGGCCTGGGGGATGCATCGGGCGCCGCGGCCGCTCCAGGGCGCTGCAGAAAGAGCCGAATGCGTCCCAGACCGCTCTTGAGCGATGTACCCTCTTCCCAGGCCTGCCTGGCACCGCCCTCACCCGCCTCGCTGCGTCTGCTCCGAGATGGCCTTGGGATGTGTAGGGTGGCCCCCACGGCCTCCACACAGCACCCCGCACCAGTCCCAGAGGGCCGCAAGGGCGCCATAAAATCGTCCGAGAAGCAGGGGGCGCGTGCCCCGAGGTGCAACGTCACGGGGAAGCTCGACCATGAACCACGCGACCAGAGCCCTCGGTCCCCACCTTATGAGAGGCCTCCTGGATAGGGTCCGAGCAGATGGGGTAGGACAATCGCTCCGCATCGCCGATGCATCGGCGTCGTCGGCGGTGCATCGTCGACGTCAGCGCGGAGAAAATCAGGCTCCACATCGAGCCGCATCGGCGATGCATTCGACCCTCCGAACCCATCTACTCGGACCCCATCCAGGAGGCTCAGACTTGTCCGCGGCACTTCCCGAGCCAGATCGGCCCATTGAGAGTCGCGCGGCCCGAAACGGGATGACAACTCCGCGCGTCAAAACTGCGACGCCCAGATCCCGCCCCTGACCGCTCCCTGCTGAGGCGTTGAGGGGGAAGGGGGAGCAGGGGACGAAAGAGGGAGGGAGGGAGGGAGGAGCAGGAAGATGGAGGTAGCTGAGGAGAATGAAGCAGGAGCCAGGAGGAAAGAAAGAAGAGGGAGGAGGGAGGAGGGCGAAGGAGGAAGAGGAGGCAGCAGAAAAAGGAGGAGGAGGAGAAGGAGGTAGGAAGGAGAAGCAGAGAGGAAACGCAGAGAAGGTGAGGGAGGAGGAGGAGAAGAAATGTGGAAGACGGGGCCATGCAACTGCCCGACATCGTCAGGGCACGAGCGAGGAGGAAGGAGAAAGAGGAGATGAGGAGCGCAGGGAGGAGGAGGAGGATGGAAAAAGGAGGAGGAAGGGGAGGGAGGGACGACGAGGGAGGGAGAGAGGAGGGAGGAGGAGGGAAAGAGAGATGAGGGAGGAGGGTCGGCCACGCTTCAGAGTGGCCCTATGCAAGACTGACCCTTAGTGCGCAGCTCTAGGAGGCCACAAGGGGGAGTGCTCCAGGCGCGCTGGCCAACGTTGGTGGGGACCCTCGTGGGCACAGGACCATTTGTGCGAAGGGTCACAGCGCCATCGCGAAAAAGCCAAGATGCTTACAGAGACAACTCAAACCGATGCTTGAGTGAATGCGATGAGGGAAAGAGGGAGGGAGGGAGGGTAAGAGGGAGGGAGGCAGGAGAACGAGGGAGGGAGGGAGGGAGGGAGGGGAAGGAGGGAGGAGGGGGGGGGAGGGAGGGAGGGACGGAGGGAGGCAGGGAGGGAGGGAAGGAGGGAGAAGGGAAGGGGAGGGGCAGGAGGGCGAAGGGAAGGGGGGGGGGAAGGGAGGAGGGAGAGCCAGAGAGGGAGGGAGGGAGGGAGGGAGGGGGAGAGGATGGCACAGGGGCCGCGGGCGAGGCCGAGGGTGCGGGCACCCGCGCCCGCGTGGCGGGCGGCCGGCGGCGTCCTCCTTGGGCACGTACTCCAGCCTCCGCGGTCGCCGCGCCGCGCGGGACCCGCACCGGGGAGCGGGGCAGGGAGGGGACAGGGGGAACACTTACAGGAATTGCAGCCATCGCGCAGCAGAAGATCCTCGACTCAAGCATGCGCTGGAGGCTCTGGCCTGCACGTGGGCATCAGGCCGCGAGCCGTACGATCGGAATAGTTACGCACGGCTTGTCTTGGAAGTGGGCAACTCACATGTCAGGCCCCATCCCTGGAGGGCAAGGAGGGGAGGGAGGGAGGGGGAGGGAGGGAGGGGGGGACGGGAGGCCACGTCTTCGACGATGGGCCCCTTGCTGCCCGCCAGCCCTGGGCGGTCTTCGGTGGTCTTGGGGCGGTCTTCGGCGGTCCTGGGGCGGTCTTCGGCCGTCTTCGGCCGTCTTCGGCCGCCTTCTGGCAGTCTGCGGCGATCTTCGTCGGTTTCCGGGGGATTTCGGAGCGACTGGACACTTGCGGTTAACAAAGGGTCCATGATCGAACACCTATCGGGCCTTCTCAGCAGGCTCGAGCGCTCCCCAGCCCTCTGAGAATTTTCCCACGCCCTCCCCGAAGACACGGAACAGAGAAGTCCTGCCGCCTCCTGAAGGGGGCCTTCTCCTTCTCGCTTCCCGCCCCCACCCCCTCGCTCGCCGCCGAACCCCAGGCAGGGAGGGGGGGAGGAACCCAGATCTCCAAGGATCAGAATTGTTCCATCCGGGCGTCTGCTTAGTCTGGGCGTCCGTCAAGAACACAACAAAAAACAAGTACAAAAAACTGCGGCCTCCGTGGCCCGCTCCTCCGGGGGTCTCCACGATGCGGCGCGGAGGCTCCCATAGGAACAAATCTCGGCTACTGGCGCTTCCGTCTGTGAGCGCCTGCGTGGGAGAGTTCAGACCGTGTGGCGACTGAACGATCTCGACCGGCTCCCCCCTTGCAGTGCCCCGATGCCACGCCTGCTCCATCGGGATTCCGTTGGGGCTCTAAAAAGAGAAGGGTCGGGGGTGCCTAACGTCTCTCTCGCCAGAGACATCCCCACTAGCTGCTCTGAAAGCTAAGGAATCCCAGCCACGACACGAGCGAAGCGCCCGAGACATCCCCATCAACTACGCCTCGCTCTGGACATCCCCACCATCTGCCCTGAAAGCAAAGGAGTCCTAGCCACGAAACGAGCAAACCACCTGAGACATCTCCACAATCTGGCCGCGACCGCGTGACTGAAGCACCCCCTGGCGACTCCCCTGTGGAGTGCTGAAACAAACCCATCGCTCTGGACATTTCCACTTGGACATTCCCAAAAATCTGGCCCCGAATGGGAAGGTGCAACACAGTCTTGCGACTCCCCCTCGGAGTGCCCAAATGCAACGCCTGCTGCGTTCGTCGTCCTCCAGACGCATGCTGAGGCGGAGGAGGAGGAGGAGGAGGAAGAGAAGGAGGAGACGGGCGAGCAGTGCTCCATTCAAACCGAAGAAACAAGCACAAGACGGTTGGGAACAGTCTGGGGGGAGGGAACAAGCAAACCGCTTGAGACATCCCTGCAAGTGGGGCGTAAAGCACCCTGGCAGCTCCCCCTTGGGGTGCCCAAGTGCATCGCCGGCTATGTCACGGTGATCATGGGGCGAGTGTGGATGATCCTAATTCGCGAGGTATGTGTGTGAGCCTGGGTATGACACTTGGTTGGGTATGGGTTGACCTGAATGGGAGTGGTCTGTGCATGAGTCAGTCTGACCATGAGGAAGTATGTTAGTCAGGGGATGTGAGCGAAAGTGAGTCAGAGTAGCACCGGAATTGAGTGCAAACGAGTCTGAGCACGATTGGGTCTGAATATGAGTGGTCGATATGTGATGAGAGGAAGGAGGCGGGAGTGTGGAGGCGGGTGGAAGGGGGGGCAGTAATTACATGAACGCCATACATAAGACATGAGGAACACAAGCCCATACATAGCACATGGGAAACAAAAGCCCCATACCTATGATATGGGGA